CATTGGCCACTGGCCAAAACTCAGGGCAGCAGTGGGGCAGGCATGCCTGAACATGTGGGACCTATTTATTTATTTTTGAGACAGAGTCTTGTTCTGTCACCCAGGCTGGATTGCAGTGGCACGATCTCAGCTCACTGCAACCTCCACCTCCCAGGTTCAAGTGTTTCTTGTGCCTCAGCCTCCCCAGTAGCTTGCCACCCTGGTCTGGGCCCTCATCTCCTCATCTTCCTCTAAGGTCACTCATCTCTCCAGCCCCATTCCTCTGCACTCGTTGGCCACACCTTTCTAAAATAGAAACCAGCACTCCCCAGTTTCAAGTTTTTCCCATTGTTTGTAAAACAAGGACTAAACTCCTTTGCTTGGTTTTCAAGGCCTCTCACCTTCTCTAACTTCACTGGACCAAGCCTCTCCCCTTGGCCACCCATTTACCCATTCCTCCCCACCTCTTATGCACCAGGCGGATCTGTCTGCCTTCAATTTTCCAGCTTGCCCAATACTTTTCTTGCCTCCATGGTCTTGCTTAAGTGTTGTCTGGAGTGTTCAGGTTGCTCGTGAGGGCAGGTCAGCACTGAGACTTGGGAGGAATCTTGAAAGGAAGAGAAACAGAGTATGACTGATTGACACAAACTTAGGGAGAAAAACAATTTCCTAGTGAAAATTTTGGCCCTGGCACAACCACTCTTCCCCCACTCACCGGCGCTCATGTCCACTCTCCCTGCGCTTTGATGACTCGTTCTTGGCGTGCAAAGCAAACAATTCACATTGCTTCATTGGGATATGAAAAAGAGGAGTCATGGAAACACAAGGACACCAGGAAGGACAAAATGAACTCTAACAGGTGGTTTCCGTGAACAGCCCTGCATGCTGAAACCAGGGCTGTGTCTGACTTTAATTATGCACCTGGGCTTCTAGAGCCTACACCCTGAAGTCAACATGTTCCAAAACTAACTCATTCTTCCATATTAATTTTAAAAGTTGTGTAATATATTGAGTAATTTTACACACACTGAATGAATGTGTTGGTTCATATTTGAACTAACTCTTTGATTTTCTAAGTTAGAATATGCTAAAAAGAGGAAATCTCGCTTATCACTTTGGTGTGGTTATTGGTAAAAGTAGGTATTCTCCTAGCCTCTGCATCTCCATACAAAATAAGCTTTGGTTAACGACAAGAAAAAGCACCAAAGACCCCATTCAAAAGACTGAGATAACAGTGAAAATAAATCCAGGGAAACTGACTAGCTACTGTAAATTGAGGGCTGATTAGAAGTAATCTTTTTTTTTCTTAAAAGAAAATTTATACAATTTACCAGATTTTTACTTTATAATAAATATATAGTCTTCCTGTGGCCTTGTCTTTTCCAGTTTAGGTAGACAATACTTTGTTTATGAACATGTGTGTGTACACCCTTGAATGTACAGATGAGTAAACACTTTATCTGGCAGGTGTGGGGCTGGCTATTACATCCATCCATGGTAACTGACCTACCCTTACTTACCTCATATATCTTCTATATGAGCCTTCTCTGACTTATCCAATGAATTAATATTCTATTTGGAATTAACATGATAGTATAGGAGAAGCCTCCTTAGACTTGTCCAGGGTTTGGCATACATGATGCTATATATGTCT